ACAAAGTACATTTACATTTCAATGAGTTTGGAGTAACCGCACACTTTGATGGTCTGCCTTTATCTTTGTGGCACACATTCGCTGCAGCACTGTTTCGAGAAGCTTCTTCAGGATGCATTTCCATCCAATGTTGCATTCATTTTTCACCAAGATCTTGCATTGACGATGGAAGGGTCTACCCGCTACACAACGCCTTCTCCAGAACATCCCAAAGATTCTCAATGGCGACTCTAAAGCCAGCCAATAGCAACCTTTCTTACTGATAGGTCACATACGTCTCAAAAAATATAAGGCAACAGCCAAAGATACCACTTTAAATATAATTACTGGATTTTAATAATTTTTATTTGAAATAATAGAATTTTTGGTTGTAGTCACACAAGAATAAATGACATCAAACACAGTCCCCCATGCCAACACGATTGATCTAAACCAACCCCCATATCTCCATGATCGTCTGAGATATTGATTACTCATTGCAAACTGATTGCTGTGGTGGTCCCCTTTACCACTATAAGTTATAAAAACCAATTCCCATGTCCATGACTTACCAAAGCTGAGATAGATTTTAAAAATGGTGTTGCTAAGGTAAACAGTTTGGTTGCTACGGAGCTGTCAGTGACGCCATACATTCGTTACTGTAATTAAATTTCTATGATGTTCTCAGCTTTTAACAAAGATTGATCTCATTCTAATTCAATGGATATTTCCCAGAATTCCTTCACTGGTAGCAGTCTGAAAGCATATAGCCACCAGAGTCAGACCAGTTTGGATGTCTTGGCAAAGTTTGCACGCCTTTTACAAGCCGACATAACACACGCACGCACGACACGTATGAATTCAATGTCAATAGTTGCCTATTAATTCACATTTATTAATATTTTTCGGGCGTCCAACACATTTTCATGTGAACAATCATAGAGGAACAGTAGCAAATACTCAAAGAGGACAATACTGACTAAACAGTTTTACCAGAAACAGGAAAAGATCATTGGCAACCATTAAAAGTGTAAATATGGCAGCAGTAAATATCTGTACAGTAAAACAATAATTACATCACGTTACAACAGCATCTGTTTATGAACCTGATCATCAGTAAAACCGCCGAGCAGAAGGTCTGTTACTCATTCTCACCGTAGACACAAACCAAGGGATGTGGACGCAGGTCGAGAACACTGGAGCACCGCATGAGAAACAAAGCGATGGAATGTGAGGAGGAGGAGGAGAAGAAGAAGAGCGTGTGCAGATGAATGGAGGGTGGTGATCCTGGCTGCCCTGGCCTGATAAACCTGCTGAAGACCAGATTCTCTCAGTCTTCCAGGGTCCGGAAAGAGTTCTGCATGTCTTCATGGAGCTGAGCATAGTCGGCTTTGATCTTCTCCTCACCCTCTTTCACAGGGTCCTGAAATCCAAGCAAATGAGAAACAATAAAGAAAACAATTTAATGCACAATTTCCAACATTAAACATAAACATCTCAAAAAGAAGATTTTAGATTATGTCAAAAATAAAATAAGAAGCTTTATCAAGGGCTTTCAGTTAGAAGGTTGCCGGTTCGAGGTGTATGTTGCCATGTCCAGGGTGTACCCCCAAGTGCACCGGAGATAGACTCCGAAAGGGGCAACCAAGCGGATGTCGAAGATGTCATGTCAAGGTTAAAGCTCATTAAAACAAAATTAACATCTGACTATAATCTTGAAATTAAAAGTAAATAGTGGAATAAACATAAGTCTTGCGGTCAGCAAACTACCTTTATATTACATTAAACACAAGAAAAAAAAACAAACAATAAAATCTTCATAGGTAATCGAGTCAAAAACACGTTTATGTTGTAAAAACACATTTGATGTTGAGAAAATTGTTCAAGGTTTGGCATGAGGTTTGAACGTATGGAGCAGGGGACTTTCCGGTAGTTTTTTTGGGATGAAAGAAAGCGTTGACCAATTAAATGCGAGCTAAGCAACGCCACGTGACTCCTGTTAGCCTGAGAAATCTGACAGTCTTCGCAGCAGACCGTTGCGCGCTGATGTCATCAATGCATATGTGCCGGGGTCACGCACTTGCGCACGGTGTCTGAGCATCTAAACCGTAGGGTTTGCGTCGACCTGCTAACGGTCATTCGCCCCTTACCGTGGACACCCACCCTGAACCTAACCCTAGTGTGAAGAACTCAAGAACAATTATAAATGTATTGTTTTTGAATATTTTCTTGTTATAAATAATTTGTTCGGTTTTATTAATAAATGCGCACACCCTGCCTGAGACTTTGGAATAGGACAGTGCGTGTCCAGCAGGTGGCAGTAGCTACTAATACTGTATACAGCGGACCCAGATAAGAAAGGACATAAGGGGAATAAAGTTTCAGCGTGTTGTCAAGGAAACGGAGCTGCGTCTCTGTGTGGACACTGGTGTATAAAATAAAGAACCCCAAATCAAATAACGCTCGTTTACTTCAAGTGTGTTTCATAAACCCATCCCAAACTTCGTTCACGTGGGTTTGAAGTCAATTCACCGCACATGCGCACTACATACATGACGTCGACAAATGCAAGGAGTCACTGCACTACTGTCGTGTCTGCAGCGAAGACTATGTACCGGCAGATGAGCAAAAGTTTGCGCAGAATTAATAAACAAACTGGTGATAACAGTAGCATTTAGCTAGCGGATACAGAGGAAAGATTGAGAAAGAGAAATGCAGGGTTCTCAATCCTCACGCATTTTACTGTTCTCACACACGCCACACGTTTCTCACGCAGAAGTGCTACAAAATCTTGAGAACCCTGTACTAGCTCTTATTAGAAACTGCTTCACGAGACAAAAGAGTTTTCAACAAACACATCACCGCAAATCTATTTGAATACTTGTATTCTTTCTTATTATTTCAAAACGTAGATAGCACTGTAAATATATGTGCAGTCTGAATTTTGCTTAACAATACATTTGTCAAGCATTGATTTCATGCAGCTACTTAATAATATATTACATTAAATAGTTAGACGTCATGATCTTCTGGACTTTCACTTCCCCAAAAAATTTGAAACTGGGCGTCTTTCAATTTTAGCTGAACACCGCTGGTTTAGTTTTAACTCTAGGACAAGATTTATCAGCCAATCTACTGATTTACCATCTCTTCTAGAGGGCACTGTACTGAAACTGTACAGGTAACATAAGATCGTAGTGTTTATGATAAAGAATAGTTCGTTTAAAGTGTTTTGGAAACTGTAAAATTCCACCATTTCAGAAAGTGATCGGAGTGACACGAGACAGCGTTTCTAACCCTGAAGCTTCAAAGTTTATTTTTAAGTGGCAGCACTTGAAGGTTTTAGGTCACGGGTCAGGAAATGAACAGCGGAGCAAAGACGTCACAAACAATCAGAGCCTGCACGGGTTGGGTGCTGGACCCTAATAAAAATTAAATATTGGCGACATGCTTGTGACAAAATCAGTTTTTCGGTGCCTCATTTGAATAACTCCTGTGTTTATCATTACGCCAAAATGCCTGGAGAATGTCTGGCTTAGGATGTAAAACGCATTTCTGGAGCAAATAACCAATCAATGACCTGCTCCTTGTGTAAATATCCAGTCAGCGAGCGCTAAGGTTAGAGGAGGGCGGGACCGTCTTGTGTTTCACTTCAAGCGTGACCAGTCAGGGATGTGAGGAGGCTCTTAAACAAGGAGACATGCTGTCGAATACGACAAAGATGGAAAAAGAACAGTAAACATCATCAACGCGTGCAGTTTTATCAGATGTAATTATGCAAAAGGAAACACATGAAACATGAGCGTTCATCTGCTCCGTCACAAACAGCGAGACACTCTGAATATCCACCTGGATGCATCTGAAATAAGTTCTGTGTCACTAGAACATCGAGAATACTCTGCTGCAGTACCTGTAGAGCAAAATTTGATCTCTTCATGGGATCTATACAAAGGATGATTAAAAAATGACTAATTTGCTTGAAAACCGTGGTTAAAAACCGAGGTACGTACCGAAGCGTTTGTGTCCCTTTTAAACAGTAACAGACTTTAACCTATTATATGTGATTCCTGAAAAACAATCTACCTAAACGAGGAACCCGACGACTGCCGTGCAAGGATAAAGTGCAGTAGCAGGTTAAAATCATCTCCTCTCGTGTACCTTAAATTTCATGGAACTGATCCTGTAGAGAATCTCTCCCATGTGCTCCCTGATCATGGCCCAGGTGATCTTATTGTCGCTCTGCGCGGTGGTCTCCACGGCATGACGTGCCATATCATAGAATGCAATCATGTTAGACAAGATGCCAACCGTCTTGTAGAATGGACAGAACCTGAAAGATAAAGAACCGTGTTCAAGGGTACGAAGATAACTTGAAAACCTCTTTAAGAAGATTAAAAACACTTGTTCTCTACCGATCATAAGGAGTGTAACCATTTTGCTGGAGGAAATCATCCTTGATCAGCTTGGCCACTTCCAGAGTGATCTTATCCGTTTCAGCTAATGACGCCTTGAATGGAAACCGAAGGGTGAACATGTGGAAACAATCTCTTGAAGAAATAAGTCGCAAACTCACCTTCCCCACGAGCTGCACGATCTCAGCCAAGTCCTCCTCCTCCTGCAGGATCTCTTTAGCTTTGGTTCGCAGCGGAACAAACTCTGGGAAGTGCTTGTCGTAGTACTCGTCCAGCGCTCGCGTGTACTTGCTGTAACTGATGAGCCAGTTCACCGAGGGGAAGTGCTTCCTCTGAGCCAGCTTTTTGTCCAGACCCCAAAACACCTGCAGGGGCCAAAGAAACGGAAATCTCAATTCTGATCATTACAGGTGCTGTGGGATTCGTAACCGAGGCTCTACTCACATTATTCTTCTTCCCCTTTCATATTTAATTTCTTTGTTCAACATCAGGTTTATAGGAAGAACTTTCAAAACCTTTCCCGGAAGATAATCATAATAAAGCTTACATTTACTTTAATCCAAAGCGACTTACATCTGAAAGAATGAACACATTTTTGTCAGTTCTTGCTTTCCCTGAGATTTGAACCAGTTACCTTTGTGTTGTTAGCACAATGCTCTACCAACTGAGCCACGCGGTAGCACGAAAGCACTCCAGGGATACATCAGTCAGGAATAATGGATCTAAATGATGATCAAATCTGAGATTTTAACTCTTCTCGACAGGAATGGCCAGCAACAATCAAGAGTGGTTTCAATGGGGCTAAAATTTTAATATGGGGCCTTAATTTTGCTAACAACATCTCGATGACTGTGGGGAAAATATCTTGTGGACTGACGAGACAAAAGTTGAACTTTTTGGAAGGTGCGAGTCCCGTTACATCTGGCGTAAAAGTAACACAGCATTTCATAAAAAGAACATCATACCAACAGTAAAATATGGTGGTGGTAGTGTGATGGTCTGGGGTTGTTTTGCTGCTTCAGGACCTGGAAGGCTTTCTGTGATAGATGGAAGCATGAATTCTATCGTCTACCAAAAAATCCTGAAGGAGAATGTCTGGCCATCTGTTCAAGTCGATTCAAGCTAAAGCGATCTTGGGTGCTGCAGCAGGACAATGACCCAAAACACACCAGCAAATCCACCTCTGAATGGCTGAAAAAAAACTAAAATGAAGACTTTGGAGTGGCCTAGTCAAAGTCCTGACCTGAATCCCATTGAGATGCTGTGGCATGACCTTAAGAAGGCGGTTCATGTTAGAAAACCCTCAAATAAAGCTGAATTACAACAATTCTGCAAAGATGAGTGGGCCAAAATTCCTCCAGAGCGCTGTAAAAGATTTGTTGAAGGTTATCGCAAACGTTTGATTGCAGTTATTGCTGCTAAGAGTGTCCCAACCAGTTATTAGATGCAGGGGAAATCACTTTTTCACACAGGGCTAGGTGGGTTTGGATTTTATTTCTCACTAAATAATAAAAACATTCATTTAAAAACTGTATTTTGTGTTTACTTGTGTTATCTTTGACTAATATTAAAATGTGTTCGATGATCAGAAACATTTTGTGTGACAAACATGCAAAAGAATAAAAAGTTGAGAAGGGGGCGAATAGTTTTTCACACCACTGTATATGCGGTTGCACAGGGCTGACGAGAGTTCGAATCCCGAGCCTGTTGTCTTTCCCATCCCACCCCATTCTCTCTTCTCCTGATTTCTGGTCACTCTCCACTGTCCTTTCCGTTAAAAAAAAAAAATCAATAAAGGCCACGGCCAAAAAATAATAAAAAAAAATCCAGACCACAATCTCTCTAGTTATTTTCTCAAAATCAGTGCTGCACAAAAAAAGTAGCAGAGGTGGATGAAGAGATTTGTGCACCAAAAAAAAAGGAAGAAAAGTTTGGATGGCAGTTTAATTTAGTGACTACGAAAGGGTGGTGAATTTAAATAATGCACAAGGGTTAATTAATCACAATATCTAAAGGGGCCACACATGGTTTCGACGAGAAGCATCTCCCCCTCACCTGTACAATACCAAGAGTAGCTGATGTGACCGGATCAGAGAAATCACCACCAGGTGGAGACACTCTGCAATTCAGACAAAAGCATCACTGAGCAGATCATGCGCAGGGACGCCAATATCAAACTTAATATTACCAACAAGCTAATTATTCCGGTCTTACGCTCCCACGATGCTCACGCTGCCCTCTCTCTCTGGATTACCCAGACATTTAACTCTGCCAGCACGCTCGTAGAATGAAGCCAGCCGTGCTCCCAGGTAGGCAGGATAGCCACTATCTGAGAAGAGAAGCACACAACATTACGTCTTCCTTACGTTACGTTTACGGTATTCCATTATATTTCAAATGTGCTTTCCACATTTACAACATAGTAGTGCTCAAAACTCAACCATCCTTCTGCCGACTTAAAAAATGGGCACCATCATTAAAACCCATGTCTGTGATTACCCGGGATATTAATTGCTGTTATGTTTATGTTCATGACACCTACCAGCAGGCATCTCAGCCAAACGACCAGAGATCTCCCTCAGAGCTTCGGCCCATCGAGAGGTGGAATCCGCCATCATGCTCACGTTGTAGCCCATGTCCCGGAAATACTCCGAAAGCGTGATTCCTGGAGGAAACAAACTCTTGTTACTTACACCAATCACTTGTTTCTTAGCTCCAATTGCAACTGTTTGACAAACCGGTGTAAATAGAAGCTTCTCTTGCAGCTACGGGCATGTTGGAGGTGTTCGCCACCAAGGCCGTCCTCTTCATGATGCTCTCCACCTTACCGTCCACCTCCATGGTAAGCTATTAGGCAAGAGAGCGGTCAGTTGCCGTTGGGCCGAGGACAGTTTGTGGTGCTGGTAAACACGAGGTAGCTCTCACCTCGGGGAAATCTCTGAGCACTTCTGACATCTCGTTCCCACGCTCTCCACACCCCACATAGACGATGACATCACTGTTGGAGTACTTTGATAAGGATTGAGAAATCACAGTTTTGCCACATCCGAAAGCACCAGGGATGGCGGTGGTTCCCCCTTGAACGCACCTGGCGAGCGAAGCGAACAGAGAGTGAAACAGCTGGATTTCTTAAACCTTGGGTGTGTGGTCAGAACTAGCTACAGTTCCTTAAAAAGAAAAAACCCAGACACGTTTCATTTATTTTATGATTATCCATTTCATCAATGTCCAGGAGTTTAAAAAGATAAAAATTGGCTCATTTCAATGAAAACTTTTTTTCTTTAGGCAGTTGTAAAATAACGGGACAATGATCTATGTTTTGGGAAGATGAAACCAGAAAAGAACAAAATAGTCAATTGAGAACTGATCACTCACATACTTTTACATGTATGACATAGTTTTACATTCACGGTGTTGGTGCTGGTGTTGTTTTCAATGCTAACCTCGAGCTCTGAGTCAATTCAAGCTTTTTTAAATTAATCAATCAATGCTTCAATAGCAGTGGTTACCTCAAAGGAAGAAAAACAAAAAAGGAAGACGAAAACAAGAGAAAATACAATAAAGATGGAAATCTAAATAAAAGACATGTACCCCAAAGCCTAACGAGTTTATCAGCTGGTTATAGAAAATGTGGAGTGACCATATGATTGACAGCTGTACCGACTGAACTCTGGGGCGGAGCTCCGCGTCACCGAACCCTGGTAATTTTTAAAATAAGAACCGGAAGCAATGAGGCACTGTTACAGTCTGAACCCGCGTCTGTGCAAGATGTTCTAAACGACCCACGAGTCGAGTTTGGAATTCACAGCAAGGATTAGCGATTTTATTTCTAAAGCATTACATTTTTCACACCTGCCTCAAACCTTTGCACAGTAATATAAATGCTGAGTTTTGGTCATGTTACTGCACTGAAACACGGCAAAATGTTTTTTTTTTTTTTTTAATAAAGCCCTTTTTTGGCAAGTGCCAAGTTTGCAATAGAAACCTACAATTCTGCGGGAACCAAACACTTTGAGTGCGAAGCGAGACAAAATCTGTGGATGCGGGTACAGCTGGTCTGACTTTCATGTTCGTGTGGGAGAAAAGATTTATTTGTAGGGCTCCCACAACATAGAAATATCCAACAATTTAATAACATTCTAAATATTAATGCTGTCAATCGATTACATTTTTTTATTAATTAATCGCACACTTTATTATGATTAAAAGACTGAATCTATTTGGATAACTTTAAATGTAAAGAATTATTGTAAACTCAAGACAAAGAAAAATGTAAAAATCTGATTTTTGTTTAACTCGAAACAAAGATTTTCTCGTGTTAACAACACACTTGTCCAAATTAACTTTAGGCTAGAAAATTATAGTTTATTTGTCATCAGCAATATAAACACAAAAGCAAACAAAAGACCCTTGTAGGGAAAACCTGAATAACATAAGACTTCTTCAAAGGAGGAGGAATAAACAAAACTAAATGAACGAACGACCAGGCTTTGTTGACCAGAGATCTCTAGTGATCAACAAAGGTCCTAAATTTTTAACGTGTTCAATATTTTAAAGTAAACGCTTGCGTTAACGCGCTATTTATGACAGCCCAACTAAATAGAAACACTGCTGGAAACTTTTCCTTCAGAAGGCTGATGAACAAAAGGGAGAAAACCTCTCACCAAAAAAGCCACAGTGCTGCACAAACAGAGAGACCAGGACTGCAAAACTTATTTAGTTCCGTTTAAAAAAAATGAGCCTGTTTTTCCACTCGTATCTATGATCATAAACACGATCTTTGTTTTACATTTCAATTTATTTCTATGCAAACCACTGAAACAAATCAAAGGGCAGGGGGTGAAGTGATGGAAATTAACACACTTGTGCCCAGGGGATTTTTGAGTGGGACAAAACGTCTATACTATCTGAAAAATCTGTCCCGCATTGGTACAGCGGGTGCCGAGCTCTCCACATGACTGCAGAGGGCAAGTATTGATCCCACGCTCACCGGTCAAGCATTAAAAAGGGTATTTTTCACAATAAAAGTTACATTTTTATGAAAGATACAGGTAGACACCCACAATCTTACCGATACAGTTTCTCTTCTGACAATTTGGAAATCAGGACAATTTTTTAATCCTTCAAATCCTTCTGGAGCTACTCACGGGAAGAGGGCGTCCAGCACTCTCTGGCCGGTCAGCAAAGGGTGGTTAGCAGGAAGCTTCTCAGTGACTGGTCGGACCTGACGCACTGGCCACACCTGCACCATGGTGAACTTCTCCTTCAGCCCCTCGAACTCCAACTCCAACACCACGTCCTGACCAACGCGCACTTGTCAAGTTCTGCAAGCGTTTCATAGTTTTTTTTGGAAACATCTCTAATGGGACTTACAGAGACGTCGTAGTTTCCAGGTGGTGCAACGTATGTGACCGTTCCTCTGCTTCTGGGCGGTAACATGATTTTGTGTTTAATGAGAGAGTTTTCCAACACCAAGCCATAGATATCACCTCCAGTGATGTGACTGCCAACCTGGACAGACAAACAAGTCCTTTCCTTAAAGCTTCGAACGGCGATATTTCACTTTTTCACATTTTTCCCAACTTTGACTAGATGTTAGCTTGTTGTCCCCTTTAACACCAATCTTTGACTTACACGCAAGCTCTTGGATGGAGAAAACTCCCATTTCAGATCACGGTT